GCTCCGCCCGGCCCCGGCCCGCCCGCCGTAGCTCCGACCCGCCCCGGCCCCGTCCGTCACCGCCCCGCACGCCCGTCGTAGCTCCGTCCCGCCCCGGCTCTGCCCAGCTCCGCCTCGCCTGTCTCCGTCTGCCACCGCCCCTCAGCTCCGCCCCGCCCGGCTCCGTCCGCCACCGCTCCGGCCGCACGCCGCCGCCGCTCCACCGCTCTCACGCTCTCCGATGGCGCCGAAGAAGACGCCGAAGGGCAAGTCGGGCTTCTTCGGCATGAGGCAGAAGCCCTCCGGTAACTTCGGAGTGGAGTTCTCCGACGCCGGGAGGTGTTGGTGGATCGGCACGTACCCCTCCGCCCACGAGGCCGCGCGTGCCTACGACATGGCGGTGTGGCATGTCGAGAGGCCTCGGGAGCACCTCAAGTTCCCAGAGATCGAGATTCGGGCGGAAGCGGAGATGCTTGTGCCGCAGGGCACCAAGATGGAGGAGATCCCGACGAAGAAGAAGACGACGAAGAAGCCGTCGGTTGTCGTCAGTGCCGGCGAGACCGACGAGGAGGCGATGGCGAGGTTTGCTCGGGAGCATCCGGAGTACGTCCAGGCCAAGCTGGAGTACTACTGAAAGCGTGAGGCGGAGCAGAAGAAGAAGGGGGCGAAGAAGGAGGACGAGGCCGGTCCCTCGACGGTGATCCCCATCGAGTCCTCTTCCGAGGAGGACTGGGCAGACTTCTCGGAGGAGGAGGAGGAGGGGTGCTATGACCTAGAGAAGGAGGAGTTCTGGACGCAGTTCAGCAGCTCCGATGATGAGTAGTTTATCTAGTAGTTTGAATAAGTAGTAGAGTTGAAATTCATGTATGAAACTATGTTGAATGGACTAGTAGTTTGTCGTTTTAAGAAATTTACATCTTCATTTTGGACCATTTATTGGAGTTGCTTTTTTGGACCATCAATTTGAACCATCTGTTGGAGTTGAGCTTTTTTCAGAGCTCCAAAACGTACTTTTTGGCGATCCAAATTTTACATCTCCGATTTTGGACCGTCAAATTTTGGACCATCTATTGAAGATGCTTTAATGGAGTAAGCTTCTTCACAAGCGCATCTGCACTGCCGATCGATTCAGCCGGGAGGAGGTAGCAAACGTTCTGCCATAACTCTTGAATCTGTTGCAATTGCTGTATTGGTTAACTCAGTTTATATATATGCATGTTCAGGCTCGGTTCTTTTTCCAGCAGCTAATATCTGGAGTTAGGTATCAGTTTATTTCCCAAATTATACTACTACTTGGTTTTGCGTTTCTACAGTTTCATTTGCAATTTCCATTAATCTGTTGTATGCATTCCTCAAGCAAGTATGCATCCTGACATAAAGATCAAGAACACGTTAATCTGCTGGATGGAAGCACCGCTCCTTGTCTGAAGATATGGGGCTTTGGCTATCAGAAGATACTCTGTGGTCTGTGCTATTAATCTCGTGGTGTTGTGCCTGATTGCATGCTTATATGTTAAAAAAAATTGAGGCAAACATTGCATGCTTATGTGATGGGTATTCTTCACGATGGGAACGGGCCAACCTTACCCACTGAGACATTGGTCCGGCCCATATTTTCAAGGTTGATGGGTCCTCTAGGTCACCACCGACCCACGAGGACAAGCGGGTCAACCCAAATTTAATTGCCTAAAGTATGCCATTACAATGCACATGCCGTTGCAAGGTTGTTACCTTTGTGTTTATATGAAAAATTTAAATTATTAGCCAACCTTATAATGCAAACGATTCATGGTAGAAGCCGAAACAATTTCTTTTTAAAAAACTCCCAGCATCTAAATAATGCTAGTTGAATAAATGTGGTTGGACAAATGCTTCTTGTTTTAATTTGTGCAATCTTTGCCACTCAGTATTGGACCATTGGGACGGCAGGGGCCAAGTCCGAGCTAGAGCGGGCCGGCCCATTCCCATCCTGATTAAATATCATCTCTTAAATGTTAAATCTCGACAACAAAAATGTTTGTACCCTCTTACTGCACGAACTCCTAACAAACAGAAGTTTGCTGAATACCAGATTTTTAAGTGAATTGCAGTCGTGTTGTTTTCTATTCTACTCACTCCATAAAGAAATATAAGAGCGTTTAGATTACTAAAGTAGTGATATAAACACTCTTATATTTCTTTACAGAGAGAGTACAATTCTTGTTTCTTCGTTCTTGGCCAAAATCAAAATTAACTGTTGGACCTGAAGTGCTTTAAACTGTCTCCTGCGTACTCTGTCATTTGCTGCCTAACTTAATTCACTTTGCTCGGCCATAAAAAACTTTACGCGCTTTCTGAACCTTTCATTGGTATGAGCGGTGTATGGCCTTGAGGAGTAATCATTTAAATACTTTCTGTTTTTTTTTGCTCAAGTGCTAATAATTTGTTTTCGAATGGAGATTGCCGATGTGTGGATGTGGTGACCCTTTATGTATTTGGTGCCTAGTGCCTACCCTTTCAAGGATAAAGAAGATCCCAAGAATTTCAAAATGAAATTTCAGGTATCTTGCTACTAGCCGTTCAGCTTTGCAGTTCCACAAGTTGTACTTATAGCCCAACAAGTAAATACAGAGTTTTCATCAAAAAAGTAAATACTGAGCCCAAATTGCAGAAAATATGGGTGTTCAGTACTAGATACATCCTGAAACTGTAGTGCCAGCGCCATGTTTTAGTTATTTTCTCCCCTTGCTTGTTTTCTTCTTCTAGCACACGTACGTGTTCCATGTGGGCAATGCATTATCCTACGGCGCATGGTCATCTTGCCTACTAGTAAGAGATCAAAAACCTTTTTTTTTTCTGGTTCTGTAATTAGTAATACTATGCTACGGGATTGTGTGCTCCTCCACTCCACTACAGTGAGAAGTGGGTATAGGAAAACGAGGACGCTGCAGCAACCAACACATCTCGCAAGCAAAGTATAGTACATGAATAAACACAACAACGTATACAAACAAACAATGGGGTCACTAAATAGAAATTAGATGTGACATATTATGTCACATCTAGATAAGCACTAGACACGCACTTTTTAGTTTATATGTTTTCGCTATTGGCGGGGATCCTACAGTGCACCGCCCGGTGGCAGCTTTGTCAGACAGAGCGATACGTGTCGGGAAATGATAGGCACACGTACAGTCGAACAAGCGTGCATGCTGCTGTTCTGCCTACGGTTCTCTAGGCCTGAAAACTCGAATCAAAGTGCTCCCACACGCACTGCATCGATCATCTCTCCCGGCACGCACAGAACCACGCTCACGCACAAATCAGTGCAATTATTTGTCTTATCATTGCAGGTTTCCATGAGAGGTTTACTCATCTCGGAAACTCGCAAGTGTAGGAATCATATCATGATCAGCGGTTCGAGAGGCCGACTCCACTCATCAACAAAACCTCCTCCTCTTCCTTGTCTTGTAGATTTCACAAGTCAACCCAAGACCTTAAACCACTCACATTAGGCACCCAAAGCATGCGTCTAGCCATCTACCCATGCATATAGAAACATGACCCAAAAGTCAGACACACACTGCCATGCATGTTGGACAGCGAAAGAGAGTACACGCATGAGCTTATAAAATACTACCGCTACACAGATTCTTTTTTGACTAATTGCTCATTCATTTATAATCACCATTACATTGCAGGGTTCAATCTTCAAAGTCGTCCTCTGAATATCAGTAGACCCTAGCTAGTAAGATCGATCGATGAAGAACTTTATATATCTATATTACTGCGGCTAGTGCTAATTAAGTAGTAGTACGTGGTATATAAAGATAGTAGCTAAGCTTGAGCTGACACTAGAGTCAACAAAGCCATGGGAGATCACACAAAAACACACACCGATCGATACACTTACGCCGCAAAAGCAATTGACTAGTAGCAACTGATCAACGTACTCCGGCCTTAGCTTATAATAAACCAAGCTTCCATAGCTATGGCAGATGCTCAAAGCATCTAAATGATTATGCTTATAACTTCGCCTGGATGTTGGCTGGTCAAGCAAGCTCCTGGTTCTTCTCCACCACCCTCACCTCCTTGGCCGACCTCAGCACGCTGGCCTGCATCAGTATATAGTTAAGTCGCTCATGTGTGCAATCAGGGTGTAAGAGAAGATTCATGTACAGTAGAGGTGAGCATGTATGAGGATCCATGTACATCCATGATGCATGTGAGGTTATAGGCGGGGCGGTGACCTGAGCGTCGGTGATCTCGACGGCGAATCCGTCGACGATGGCCAGCGAGGACTTCTTCCAGTAGGTGTCGGGCTGGAGGAGCTTGGCGAGGAGCTTATCGTGCTTCTGGCTCAGGTACGCGTCCAGCGTCGCCGACCCCTGCTTCGTCCTGCACCCAAGCCAACAAACCATCCATCAAAACTGCGCACATATATTGGATAGAAGATGCAAGCCATTATAGTTATGTGCAAGGTATACAGACCGATCGGCCCTTAGGCGCTCGTAGACAGGGTCGAAGTTCATGAAGACGAAGTAGACCTCCTGCTGCGGCTTCGCCATTGCTCGCGCTCGTTGGATTCTCTCTCCCTCGAGCTACACAGGAAGCTAGGTAGCAGCACTAAGGTTTTCAGTGCGGGTAATGACTAATGATATGAGTGAGAGAGCAAGTGCTAGCTTGGCTTGGTTCCATATCATTGCTATGGGCCGGTATTTATAGCCGGGGGAGAGGAGGTGGTCACATGCCGATCTTGTCACCGGCCGGGAGGGAGCTAGCTTGCATCTTTCTTACTGTGTCCAGATTAGCCTAGATCTAGAGTGATTAGTCAAATTAGGGAAAGCGCGACGCAACTAACAAACATGCAGCCAACTGCGCGAGCTTAGGCCGGCTTGAACTTGGTCAAGGGAATCTCGCCTATAAAACGCGCACGCACATGCATGTGCGTACGTCCAGCCACTAGTTAACCAACCCTTGCTTGTCCATGTAGCAAGCTTGCTGCAGGCACTGTGACGCGCATGTATATTTTATGTGGGTTGCAGTTGCATTGCTGGAGAAGATAAGAGTATATACATACACATTTTTGTATGGTTCGTGAGCAATATCCAATAGAATGTCTCTGATGGTTGGGCAGAGGGGAGGGGGCATGCGATGGTGACACAGGCCTGCATGCAGGCGCAGTGGATATGTACGTAGCATGGAATCTCGCGCAGAGCTGGAAGAGGTCAAGGGCTCGAGATCTCTGCGCTGCACCTGGGACTCAGAGGGAGAGGCGCTGTAGGCTGGAGACTGGCCGGATTGTACGCATGCATGTCGTCGCAGCTGGCGCTGGTCAGTGGTCAGTACCAGATCCGGATGGGATGGGGTGTGAGCAGAGCGGGCAGCTCGCAGTACGTACGGCCGCGAGCATGCATGCATGCGACGCAGAGCTGGCTGCCGCCCGGCTGCTGCGTGCATGGCCAGAGCGAGAGGAGAGGAGAGGGCCCGGACCGATCGGATCCGGCGCAAGGACGGCACTGGCCGGCAAGGATCTCGGCGAGGGGCCGAGATCGGGCTAGCTGCCATGCATGCACATTTTTGGTAATGCTGTACACTTGTATGTTTGCATCTCTAGAAACGTGACCGAGTCGCTGATCATGCATGCATGCACGACAGGTTACATATACTTCCTCCATTCCACAATGTAGTGCTTCCTTTATTCACGTGCTTTAACTTTGATCGTAAATTTAATTAGCAATACCGATTACGGCGGGAGCAAAAATTATATCAGTGAATTAGTATTCGAAAGAAATTTTCAATTATATAATTTTTTTCTCCCGTCGTAGTTGGTCTCGTTGGTTAAATTTATGATCAAAGTTGAACCTCAGAAAGCGCGGGCGCACTATATTTTGAAATGGAGGTAGTATCAACTATACCATGCATGCTAAGCTTGTCTTGTACCTTTTTTTCTGGAGGTAGGGTCATTGCATCCTCGGATGTATGCAAGGCAATCAAAGCTTGAGTGCACATATTATACTATTTTTTTGTGCCGTGTCACTTCGTAGGCTGCTGCAGGCTGCAGCCTAATGAGTTTAATTAGTCCGCGACGAGTTAATATCACCACCGGTACATGAACTTGCCGGCGTTAGCAGATACATACATAAAGTTAGAAAAACAAGAAAAATGGTCACTTAACTCCTATGTTGCAACAGTTTGGTCCAAAACGGTCTGAAACAGTCTACTTAGCTTGCTTTGTTACCATGAGGTCCTATTTTTTCCTGATTGCAAAGTGGATCAAAAAAACTTTTAAATATATTTTCAGGAAGTCTTCAGCTATAGGGCGGGATGAAATATTGTAAAAATGACCGTTGTTACCATGAACTAGCACATAGGTCAGATAACCCTTCCCAACCCCCTTGGTCTGTTCGTTTCACCTTCCACCTCAAGCGGGACCAAGGCAGGGCAACGAAGCAATTGATTTTGTGGGCAACGATCGCGGCAGCATGGAGCCGATCTAGAGCCTCGCGCCTACCCTCCGGATGTGTTCTAATCAAGTTGAGAGGCCAGGAATGTATTCTCTTGAACTAAACAACGCTGAAACTAGATAAATAGGAGTAGCTCACAAGTCTAAAACTGAAATTGATTCATCCGTAGACAAATGTACAATTTTCAGCATCACGAGAGCACTGCAAGTCCAAGTTTAATTGGCATCAATGCCACATCCAATCGCTGTTGCGAGGAGTCTTCTATGTGCTGAGGTTTAGGCAATGACGCACAACGGAGAGACTAGCTCCAGCCGGACACCTGCCTCCTACATCCTCCTTTGATCCACTTTGCAATCGGGTATTTAAAAGTTTTTTGTACAAGTTTGAATCACAAATACCAAGAATTTTCTGTGCAAACTTACAACACAAAGATGAGGCACAAAATGCTACATTAACCTCCTCAAGCCGCCGCCACCGCTCATGTCGCCACCACCAGGGAGACTGCCTTCTGCCTTGCATGGGAGATGTACAAATGCCCCAGCCACCGCTCATGTCACAGCTACCAGCGAGACCACCTCTCCCTCGTGCGGACGATGTCTCAATTGCACGTTCAGCACCCTCTTTTGCGACACCGACGTGTGTGACCACTATGGCCCCTCGATGGCGGGAGTGCAAGCGCGGGCTTGGGCTTAGGGATTTGAGTCGGGTGGACATGTGAGGAATAGGAAACACAAGACATTATAGTACCTTTATACTATAACACCAAGGGGTTTTGTCATAAAAAAATATCGCAGACACATGCCACTTCATGGCATGGCATTCAATCTGACAGCTATGAGACCGTTTTGTACCAAACAGTTACGACATCAGGAGTTAAGTAATCATTTTTATGGGGTTTTCAAGTTTATGTATGTATTTTTTTTTTAAATTGTTCGGATTGCTTACCGCATGTGTCATGTGGTAAGTTTATGTATGTATTTGTTAACACCGTGCAGCGGTGCAAGTTCATGTACTTAGGATGATATCAACTCTTCCACGACACGACCTTTGAAACAGTGGGGAGAGAGCACACGTCTGATTTCTTTGTACCGACGTTGATATTTGGAAACCATCTGCAGTGCCCAAGAGGCCAAGACCTCGTTATATCACTCCACGAGTTATTGAGTTTGGCTTTGAGGCAACGTACGTACTGGCTAGCTAGCCAGTGTACGACAAGTGATGGACGCCGGGCCGGCCCCGGGCATTGATGAGGCCCACGTGTACGTGTTGGACACCTGCCGTCCAGCGAAAGGTCGTCGGAGCTGTGGGGGACTGGTTTCCCGCCGGGGCATCACATGCTCGCTACGCTGCCTGCCTCCGTCCAACTTTCGGGTCATTTCCGGGGTCCTACGCTGAGCCAAGAGAAAGACTTTGTTGGCGCCTCTCCCTTTGTCGTTCCATGCATGGATGCCTCCACGGCAACAAACTCTGTGGACTGTGGCCATGAATGCATGCAGGCGTACGGCCTCAACTCCTGAAAACAGCTTGCATGCACGGAGCAGGCACGTGCATGTTTGTGCCTTAGGCCTGGCCAGTGTAAATCTTGTTTAGGCTCCGTTTGAAATCGTGGAGCCTTTTCAAAGTCGCCTCTCCACCCACTTCCCAAACTGTGACAACAACCTGGCATGCCTATTTTTTTTTCTTCCAACCAAGCTAACTGTTTTTCCATTAGTTGCTCAACGGAAAAAAAATCTTACAAGTACTACTCACTAATAGGGTGAGCGTCCGCCCTCCAAGAACGGAGGGGCGGGGGCGGGGGCGTATCTTTCCATTTGTCTGGCGGAAAAGCACGAAGGCGGGGGCTGGAGGGTCGCGAGCGAAGGAGTCGAGGATTTTCTCCCCGACCTATCGACATAGGGAGAACTAACCGGAGGTGGGCTGTCGAAAGGTCAGGGATCTTCCTCCCTCGCATGCAACCAAATAGGGATGTTTGCTTGCCCAGGGCCAACTCAGCCCGTGGTTTACCCACCCGGGGAAAAGGCAGGGATCCCCCTGAGATCCCTTACAACCAACCGGTTCAAGAGATACATGTCTTAGAAGGGATCGCAGTTTTAAAAACCAAACCAGACCAGTGGTCCGACCAAATATACCGGAGTCGAGGCCTCGTTTGGCTAATAAGGTGTGTTGGTCTTTTAGAAGAAAAAAATGGCAAAACATCTGGAAACCGGTGTGTCAACTGGGATTCAAACCTTCAACCTTGAGCCAAATCATGCCCAAAAGCACTTCACGAACTGGGCTAGCCCCGAGTTCTAATATATTGATGGACTACATCTGGTATTAAGTGCATTCATTTGATCATATGTTGTTTTTATAGAAAAAAGGCTTTAATATTCATGTTTTCTTCATTATGAAACCGGCTGAACCGGCGGTCTAACTGGTAAAAACCTAAACTGATAGTCTCACCGGTTTGATTTTCGGTCCAGTTTGGAAGGGGTGTAACCAGAGCGACTAAAAGCCCAAACCTTCCTGACAAAACCTCAATAGGGAACTGAGAGCAACTCAAGTACTAGTGATCATTCATGTTGCACGATCATTAGCGAGAGCTGCACATGATACCTGCGCAACCAGAGAAGAAGTCATTACACGCAATTAAAACAGACTAACATGTTTGTTGTCAAAAAAGCTTTTTCGTAGTCAGAATAGAGTAGTAGATTGTTTGGGCGAGATACAACCGTACCGAGTGTAGCACAGCTGTGTGGCTACACAGACGAACCCCATATGTACCGAGGAATTCTTTCTTCTTGACTGTAACTCTATAATTCTGGAATAAAACACTCTTACGCTCGCAAAACAACATGTTTGTTGTCAAAAAACAATGCATTGTCCATCCGGGTGAACATGAGCTCGGGAGCTAAACCCCTTCCCCATGCAAAAAAAAAACTAGTACTCTAGCATACATAGGACTCATCATGCATGAGTTCATGACGGTGCTTCATATAATTGGAGTGCACAGGCTATATTGTCTTTGTTCGATTGATACTTGTCGACTGGACTACTGCACTAGTTTTACCTTTGGCCTTGCTTTCGGTGATAGTACGTGTGTGCACCATATGCATCTCACC